TACAAACGTTTACAATTTTCTGGTTAATTCTCCACAAATGATCTTCAGCTCTGTTTATAGCTTCACGACTTGGTCAACATTCTTCTCCCAACTTCAGATTCACCCAATCATCCTTTGCCAAGTCACTACTCATATTCCCACCAATCAGCTCTTAAGAAACCTCCACGTCAGCCACTCTTATGCATCATTTTCCTGTATCAACCACCTTGCCGAATAGCAAAACCCACCATATCAGTACCAACTTCTATGCGCCGTGGACATAAACACGAGAATGACGACTGAGCCTAGGGAGCTTTGAAGCATCCCATGGCGTCCTCAACCCGGAAACCACCGCTGCAAAGCTCGTACTCCACCAAACTAGAGCCACGACCACATCGATGGGGATAGTCCTCACCACCGCTGAAGGAGAAGAGTAGCAGACTCACTCCTGGACCTCCGTCGTATGACTTTAACCTGCGATAAAAATCAAACGAATCGAAAAACATATTTGAATCTGAAAATTTGTCTTCAAGAGAGAGAATGGCTCATGGATCGAGAGAACGATTGTGCCTTTTGGTTACACGGTATCATAATATAATTTTATTGTTTTTGTTATGGATTGTTTTTATTTGTGTCGCAATTCTTTACCATCTTCACCTTAATATTTTTAAAAAAATTACACGTATGATACACATACAATAAACCTTCTTACCGCATGGTTTATGTAATCACACCATATAAAATTTTAAGAGTTCATCCCCTCACAATTACAAAAATTAAAGATAATCATAAGGATGAATATTTATTTTAATAATTATATTGTATCTCATTTAGAAACTAAAATAATAGTTCAGTATTTATTTTGAAACTAACTTTTAGATAAATATATATATATATATATATATATATTTAAGATTACATGACCTAGTGTCTACTACAACTAGACGAATTTTAGATGAAAATATTCGAGATATTATTCGCTTTGATACTAGCACATCTAACATGAAAAGATTGCAATCTTAATCTTATCCATAACATTATCAATACAATTTCATTCCACTTCTCCTCAACAACGCCTAGCGTTGATGGTTTTTTGAGATGTCAACTTTGTGGTTCCAACATTTTTTTTCTTGAAACTTGGAATGTATTACATTCATCGCCTCTCCAAATTTTTGGAATTAAATACATTTTACTCATTAATGAGTTCTTAAACATGTCTTTTTTTTTTGGATAATCGTATAGATGTACACATCCACTTATGATATATTACATATATTAAACATATTTTTGCGTTTCGTTGTGTAATTTATTAATCCTCTGGCCATTGATTATATATTATATCTTTTAGTGCATAAATTTGAGATTTTCTTATACATACAATTTTCAAATTTTTAATATTTCTTTTATAATTCTAGAAATCCAAGGTGTGACTTTTTAAATATGGTTTGTCTTTTCTAAATTTATATATGTTTTATTTCGAAGCAAAAAAGAGCTAAAGATATATATATATATATATATATATATATATATATATATATATATAAATTTTTGGGCAAAGTATAATAAAGAGCTAAAGATATATATATATATATATATATATATATATATATATATATATATAATAATATATCTTAGTTTTACTTTTAGACCTTTAGATTTCTGAGACTATATAGTTCCCTTGTCAATTTTAAAGATATTATGAATGAAATGTTTATCTATATACTAACATTTGTTAAGTTTCATTTAGGCCCGGAAATAATACCCGAACCCGAAGAACCGAACCGAACCCGACCCAAAAAAACCGACCCGAACTCGAATCCGAAGTTTTAAAATACCCGAACGGGTTCTAAACTTCACAACCCGAAAACCCGAATCCGAACTCGATCCAAACCCGAGCCTGAACAAGTACCCGAACATACCCAAAATATAAGTATATAATATAATATAATAGTAATATTTATACTTGTAATAACCTAAGCGCCTAAATTATTCGTATGTTAAGATATTTTCGGTTGTTTTAGCTACTTTTGGCTAGATTCGGGTAAAAAATACTTGGGTTATAGATTTTTTGAGTATTTTTCAATACTTTGCATAGAATCAGATACAAAGTTTTTAATATTTGGATACTTCGGGTAAACTCGAATCTGAACCCAAAATACCCGACCCGAACCCAAAGTTTTAAAATACCCGAACGGATCTTAGTTCTCTAAACCCGAACCCGAAAAACCCGACCTAAATCCGACCCGAATATGCGAACGCCCATGCCTAGTTTCATTTATAACTAATAAACTATTATTTTAATTAGTAATATGTCATAAGATTCATCACTATATGAAAACTGAAAAATGTATGACCTTTCAAATTTTATAAAATTTTAGAAATACCCAACATATTAATTTTTGATATAATTTAAAACTGAAATGTCTCCGATGTTAAATAGGATCAATATTTTTTTGCTAAAACTCAAATTATATTATTACTTATAATAGATTTCTTAGTTTTATACTTTTCTATTGATAAAATTATTACTTTTGTATCTAAATTAAATTTTATTAATCCCAATTAGTACTACCTCCGTTTCATAATATAAGATATTTTGTAAACAAAAATATGTTTCATAATATAAGGTGTTTTCAAGTTTCTAGACAAATAATAGATTAATTAGATATTCTATAATTAATTATATTATGCAGTCTTTTTCATAATTGGTTAAACTTTTTTAAACTAAATATTTTTTAATCTGCGTGCTTTTATACATCTTATATTTTGAAACAGAGAGAGTGATAAATATAAATAAATATTTTAAATATATTTTAATACTTAAAGTTTGGTTAGATATACGCTTAGGTGTAAGGTAAATTAGATGGTGATTTGGACCGCCTACAATGAGAAATGAGTTTCCTATTATATATATCCTAGGTAAGAACTCGTGTCATGCATATATAAATTTTATATTATTTAATTTTATGAGAGAACGATTTATAAAAAACTCAAAATTTTTACATTGAATCTTGAGATGTCAAAACTAAATTTTGTAAATGCCTTAAAATATTTTCTATATATATATATTAAAAGAGAGCAAATTTCAGAAGTTATTAATAGAGACCACCATTGTATATTTTTTGTTAAACTTATTACGAATGCAAATGTATCTTGCTAGCTCGCATATGATGAATCCTTAGGATTCAAACCCGCGCATGGTGAATCATAGTGCGCTATCGATTATCTTCATGCACTATTGGCCTCCGCCCATACTCTACTGTTGTTTTTTTTTTTTTGTTTTTTTTTTCCCGATAATGGATTTTCCATTTAAAACATGAGAATAAAATTGTTTTAGACTACTATCTAGCATCATGGCCAAGTTACTTAGCCTAATGACATCAAAATGAAGAACCAGTTTAAAACCAAGATACAAAATCCAATTTTTAGGCAGAGACTTGGACTCGTAGCCCAACGTATGAGGATGGAGATGACGAGGAAGTGAAAGGCTAAAGTTGCATCGTAACTCAATTGGCCTCTATATCGTGTCTGCAATTGTAGAAGATATTTGATCTATGTACGTCTTCTTCTTTACACTCGATCTATTTCTATTAACGAAATATATATATATAGTGGACGTACATTGGTACAAGTGGAAAGAGTATGTTATGTTGATGTATTCTTAATGAGTTTTATGTCAAGATGAAGAGAAACAGAAAGCGACATTTATAGAAGGCGAAGAGTGAAGATGAAGCTGCTGAAGTAGTCGTTGAACTAGTTCAGAGTAGTACAAGAAGTAGTTCAACAAAACAGAATTATGTGAAGCAAGTATTTGGAAATTGGTAAGTCGGTCTATGGCGGTTGGCTGTGGATACTAGAAGCTTGGAGAAGATTTTAGAAGACTGAAGAGTTTCCTTTTCATGGGAAGAAAATGAAACATGAAGGGAAAGGACAATTTCCTAATCTTTAAAGAAAAAGGAAATTGTCTATTCCTATTGTTAGAATAGGAAATCGGCTTGTTGTATAGCCACGACCTATTTAGTATAAATAGGGTGTTTAGGCTTTAGAAAAGCTTAGCACAAAAGAGCAAGAGAATTCTTAGACATTAAGGTTATGGGGTTTCTTGTAAGAAAGCATAATGCTTAAGGGGGCTAAGGGGTTTGTCTTGAGAGAGTTCTTGATCGGGTTGTGATCTAAAAACGAGAGATTGAGAGAATATAAAATAGTTTAAGGAGGACCTTGTAAACATATTTTCTATTAATCAAAAGAGTTTTTGAAGAAACCTGTGTCTTAGTTTGTGACTCAGTTTCTGACTAAGTTTCTGTCTTATATCGTGAACTAGTTCTCAAGTACTTAATAGCTCTTGCACTTACATGTTATAATTATACAATATTACGAATGCTTCTAACCGGCGGAGGATCGGCCATGTACATGCAATCCACTTGTTCAATAAACTTTCATGTTACCCAAATATATATACATCTTCAAATCAAATACAAATATACATAACCAAATCTCTATTCAAAATTTCTATTTCACTGGAAAATAATAAATGCTTCATTCTATAACAATTAATTAGCAATCTCTATCTGTTTTGTTAATATTCTAAAATGATATAGTTTCATGAATATTATTTTGACTGTCATTTTTAGCATATTATATTAACCTCGCCAGTTTTTATTAGAATAAATTTGTAACAAAATAATGTTTTTCGCAAGATACAAAAGAAAATATTTTAGATTAATTTGTCATTCTTATTCAGTTGCGGCCACTAAGCTTTGCTCTAGCAGTACGATATTTGTTATATATATACTTTTGCTTATCTCTTGTGAGACCATTAGATCTAGCTTAAAGATTACGTAATAGTGATAATTAAAGGCATGTTAACACTTTTTGATCATTTTACTTCACTTTAAAAATACATTTAATCTTTATAAAAAGAGAAGTCAACTCCCCAATGTTAAAGTTTCCCAAAACCACTGAACCTAAATATCATACATTGCATATATAAAGAAGGCAAAGCATTCCTCAGACTCACAACATAAACTACATATCTCCCTCTACTTGAAATCATCAGTAAAGAAAAAAACACGACAACATGAATACTTTCAAAACCCCATCAGTCCTAATCGTTGCGATTAGCTTCCTGGTAATTGCAACCAATGCTCAAAACACTCCACAAGACTACCTTAACTCTCACAACACCGCTCGTGCGCAGGTTGGAGTACCGAACGTCGTGTGGGACACAACGCTCGCGACCTACGCATTGAACTATGCGAATTCTAGAAAGGCCAACTGCAGCCTTGTTCACTCCAACGGACCATATGGAGAAAACCTAGCCAAGGGGAGTAGTTCCACGTTCTCGGGCATCTCGGCCGTCAAACTTTGGGTCGACGAGAAACCTTACTACAGCTACGCATATAACAATTGCACAGGTATCTAATCTCTTACACAATCAATCCATATCATTCGCCTTATACTTGAAATTTTTGTTTGTTAAAGTACGACGTATTAACGTATATATATAACTATGGTTTCATCTGAAAGTGAACACAACGATTTCAAATGTAACATAAACACAAAACGCAAAACTTAATCGAGTTTAAGTAATTGATAGAGATTTGATAAAGCTTGTTGAATTTGAAAACAACAGGTGGAAAACAATGCTTGCATTACACGCAAGTGGTGTGGAGAGACTCAGTGAAGATAGGGTGTGCTAGGGTTCAATGCACCAATACTTGGTGGTTCGTGAGTTGTAACTATGACTCACCCGGTAATTGGGTCGGAGAGTACCCTTACTGATCACTAATATTATAGTTATGAATATATCTAATTTAAATTACTGCAAATTATAATATAATTAAACTTTCTTAATCTCAAGATGTAATAGTTTATGATGTTCATCAAGACTCAAGAGGTTGTAATAATTAATCAAATGTTGTATTTTTAATTTCTTGTTGATATAGTGAGAAAGTCCGTTCTACTCTTAAAATGCTACTGTATTAATTTCACATTTATACATGATTTCAGTTGTGATTGAATCTGAAACTGAATTTAATTCAGCTTCAGTATTAAATTATCTATTCACAAAAATAATGTTTGGTGAAATATAAATTATTTCGTGAATTTCCATAACATTTAGTTGGGATGAGAAAGAAGAGATGTACATATAATGCAATGGTTTGATAGTTGTTATTTAAATAATTTATACTCAATTATCCACAAATGATAGTTTGGCCGAGTGGTCTAAGGCGCCAGATTTAGGCTCTGGTCCGAAAGGGCGTGGGTTCAAATCCCACAGCTGTCACTATTATCTTTTAAATTTATTTTCATGGTTTTTTTTGTTAAAGGTTTTCTTATATAAATAAAAAGTAAACAAAGAAGCAAGATAGAACCATCAACATTACTATAGGACGATCCTTGTCTCCCTTATAGGACGATGTTTTTGAAACTGTAATTAGTCATAGGGTGAGTTAGCTTAGAGGTAAAAACAGAGAGGCAAATTAGCGCAGAGGTAAATGGCTGTCTTGTCTCCAAGTAACGAAATATCAGCTTCACTTCTCGCTTTTTCATTTGCAATAATAACGAAAAAACCAGTGGCTTAGATATCCATGCGAGTGGGATAACATTGTTGACTTTTTTGGCAAAAAAGGACGAAGCGACATCTCTGAGCGGGACGTGACAGTTATGCGGCAACAGAAGAAAAGAGGCGACGTCTATTTAATGCAAACCTGCAGACTATCTAAGTAGATATGTGGATATCTACAATAGAACAATAGATGTTTGACAAATATACATGAAGGAGGCGACTTCTATTTAATACAAACATGCAGATTGTCTAAGTAGATCTGTGGATATCTACAATAGATGCTTGGCAAATATACATGAAGGAGGCGACTTCTATTTAATATAAACCTGCAGATTGTCTAAATAGATCTGTGGATATCTAAATTAGAATAACAAATGCTTGACAAATATACATGAATAGATACAGATCTAAGTAGATCTAAGTAGATCTGTGGATATCTAAAACAAATAATAGATATTTGACAAAATATACATGAATAAATATAGATCTACAGGGGAAGTTGAATATCTAAACTCAAATCTTTACTTGAAAAAAAAATTGAACAGTAAGTTATTTATCAACATTAAGTGAAAATAAAGAGAATAAATAGATGTCTACAAAAAAAGATGCACATCAAAATACAGATTTATAAATTAGAGATGTGAATCTAAGTAGATCTATGGATCTAAGTAGACATGTGGATATCTACAATAGAACAATAGATGTTTGGCAAATATACATATACACGCATATTTGTCTCGGAAGAAACAAAAAAATTGTTGCGTTTCCTTTAACGCGTGAGGCTAAAAACGGAAAGATGATGGGCTAATGTTGCTATTGTTTTAAACTCCGACAAGATTTTATCAAAAACTAATTTAAGCCTAGATCTATACTTCTGAGCTAATTATCTCTTAATCATATTGTATCTAAAGAGTTTCCATTACATGTACAAGTTTAAATCGACCCACTTCATATATATTCACAAAATTTTCATCTAAATTGTTGATTGATTAAACTAGTAGTATAGAACAAAGAATAATAAGAGAAACCCAGAAGCAAAACATATAACTATAGAATATCATAAGATAACTTTATTTTTCTTTGTTCACTTTTTTTTTTTTTCAACCATACACAAAGGCAAATTAAAACACTATATATTAAAATCACTCTCTTTGTCTGTTAAATGGCAATCACTCTCTCTGTCTCTTGGATCTTCAGAGTTCTCCACTACATATCTCATTGAGCAATTAATAAAATTTGCATCACCTTTCCGATAAAAAAAATTCATATAATCAAGTTTCAACCATGAAAGATAAAAACCATGACAACATGTTAGCTTTTAATTACAGTAGTAGCTCTTAAACCACTCTTTTATTTGTTGGTAGAACTATATATATAGATGACAATTTTGTTCGTTTTATTTTTTTCTCGATTTTTGTTTTTTGTTTTTTTTTTTTGCCTAATTTCTTTTCTTGATTGATTTCTTTCTTATTTGTGCTTATTTCTTTTTTGAATTACTTTTTCTTGATTGTTCTTATATTTCATCAGGAAACGAATTATTCAACAACCACCATCCAACCCTTCTTATCTTCGACAACTCCCATTTGAATATTAGTTAATATCAAGTGAAGCTTCGTAGACAATGCCTTTTCCCCTGTCTTGTATTTTATCCTGCGGACAAAGATAGATATGACCCAAAATCAACTTTACGTAACCCCAAAATCGGAAAGATTTGATTAAATGGTGTATTTTTGTAACAACTAATTAATCACTTTTTGTCATGGAGGGTCACGGTTTCAACAGCTTTGACGACCATTGCGGTCCCAGTGCAGAAAACTTCTTCTGCCTCTAATAGCTCATCGACAGAAACATCGCGTTCTTGAACCTGTGAAACATTGTGAATCACAATCTTGCTAAGATTCATGAAATGTCTATACAAGAAAGAGTATTATTAGATAGAGCTGGAACCTGGTAGCCAATATCACGAGCTAGCTCACTTATGCTTTTCCTTGTGATTCCTGGTAAAATGGTTCCTGAAGTTGGTGGAGTGGATACAATGTTTCCCTATAAAATGAAGGATATGAAAATAAGAGCTCTTGCAAATGCAAACTTAAGGTTGAAACTTTATATTATTGTTATAAATTTTTCGATGATCTATCTTTACCTTTAGAATGAAGATGTTACAAGTAGAAACCTCTTCAATGTTTTTGCCAGTTGCCGCATCCAGGAACAAGACATCAGAGAAACCAGATGACTTTGCTTCGATCAACGATTTCAAAACCTTCCAAATTTTATACAAGAAGAAGCCATGTATTAGATATTTCATTAACTTGTTGCATGGACATCTATTTATCTCTGGTGTCTCTTTATTACTGGAGAATAGTTTGTGCAGCTTTTCACACCCCCTGTTCCACCAGAGTGGGCTCGGCGATGCTTATGATCAACTATGAGGTTCAAGCCTGAACTTGCCTGGAAGACAGACAAACCAGTAAATAGTCTTAAATTTAGGAGTCTTTTAGGCAGCATGGCCATATTTGAGCAAGTGTCAAGTGCTAGTGCTCATGGTGTACTAAAAGGATAACATTATTGATATTTAAAATTTAGAGCCACACTGGCTTCCTTTTACTTACAGTTGAGATCAATATTTAAAATATTAGACCAGTTTACTTGACCAAGTATTTGAACAACAAATAAACTCACCTTGTGGTAATTTCCTACGGGAGATGTGTAAATGAGGAACGTATATTCAGGTGCTGAAGCGACTCCAAGGACAGCACCAGTACCTATGAGTAGAGGCCTAATATACAAAGCTCCTTTACCCGGAGGAGGAACCTAAAACAAAAAAAAAAACAAATCAAAACCGTAAAATTCTCTAGCTACTTATAAGTATTCACATGGAAATATAGAGTCCTTTTTCACATTAAAACCAAAAAAAAAAAAAAAAATATAGAGTCCATACCCATTTGTTGTTGGCAAGCACAGTTTGCTTAACTGCTTCGACGAATTGGTCCAGAGAAGGAGGTGTCATACAAGTCCTATCCGCACCTGTTTGCATACGAAGAGCGTTTTGGTCAGGCCGGAAGAGTGTGATCCGTCCGTCTTCTGTCCTATAAGCCTTGAGACCTTCAAATAGTCCCTACAAACCCCCAAGCCAATATCAAATGATTTTCTCTCAAACTCTCTTATATGAACAGTAGCATTACAAGATTTTGCTTAAAGAGTATTCGATCTAGATAAACCGATCCAAATCCAATATGAAAAAACGTTCAAAAACCAAAAAAAAACCCTAACGCCAAGATTGAACAAAAACTTATAAGTGAGTGTGGCAAAAATGAAGAGAGAACAAAACCTGGCCATAATTGAGAATCCCAGCACAAGGGCTTATTAAAAAATCTCCATAAGGAACAATCTCTCCTTTTGAAAAGCTCTCTCCTTGTTTGCATTTCGCCACATACATATAATCTGTTGGAACCAGTGCGAATCCCAGCTCGTCCCATTTTACATTCGCATACTTTTCATCGGCTTTACTGTTTTAATGTATGCCACATAATAAAAACACTCAAATTAATGTGTAAAAGAGTTTTGAAATAAAACAGAGAAGGGACTAATATGGCAAAAGAACACGAGAAACTTAAATCGGGACTCTTAGAACTAATTAATGATTCGTTTAAGAAAACAAACCTAAAAAGATGATAAACTTTTACCTTGTAAGAAGAGGTGATGAAGAAAGGAGCACAGAAAGAGCCATTGGATAGAGGAAGACAAAAAGAGCAAGAAAGTGGTTCGAGCTTTGAGAACAACTAACCACGCTTGGCTTTTATAGGGACAACAACAAATATAACCATGTGGTCATACAGTCAGTGGTTGAAGGGTTCGTGTTTGTAGCCTTTATTTAAATTTATATTAACCACATGAATTAATGTAGCAAAATACAAATCTATGCTAAAGTATACATGAAATAAGAATTACATAAAATCCATTCTTGCAACCGACCTAATATTTAAAGATCACATTTTCCGGATTGATCATTTCTGCTTATTCTAATAAAGTTCTTATACATACATTTATACTCCTATTTTCTGTATATTATTCTAATAAAGTTCTTCATTCAATGATCAATGCATGCGTTTTAGGCTATACGTGAGATTAGAGTCACCGATCCTACGTGTAATATGAATCATTAGCAAACCCATTTTTAGCAAAAAAAAAACAAACATGAACCAACTAATTTTAAAAAGTGGGCAATAGCTAGCTTTTATTCGACGTTTATGTTTATCTACCCTACTTTTAAATACACCAAAACTCAAAAAGCTTTTTCAATATTAAATTTAAAATATAAGAGGAACTTGAATGAGATAGAGAGAGAAGCTAATCAATTTCAAAATCTTTTGGGAAACACAAGTTAGGCAAATTTATTTCGGGCCAACGTTCAATAAAGAGTTAAGCGATCAAGCGCCTAACACCTAAAATACATAATCGGTGCTTTGACGGTTTTAGGCAATATAAGATTTTTTTTTTTAAGTTATGTATGACAGATACACAATACAACATATTTTACATCATAGAATTCAAATATCCTAGAGTTTAGGCGCAGCTTAGAAACAGGGCCGCCCTGAAGAATGTTGGACCAAAGCTTAAAAGAAAAAAACAGGTTATTTTAGAAGGTTTAGAAAATTTGGGCCAGTTATTATAAAAGTAAATTAATTTCGGGTCAATTTGTAAATAGTTTTAGCTAGTGGATTTCACAAAAAAATTTTGGGGCGAAAACAATTGTTTCATTGGGCTTTGTCCGGGGCAGAAACCACTTAAGAAATAATCACTAATATCGCTACGGTCTATAACTGCCTCAAACTTAGTTATCTGTCACGACCCATTATCTTAAACATAAGATTTAAATATAAACATAATACCATGCCTCAAGGCTCAAACCACTTATTTACTCGTGTTTTTGTGTGTATAAGCTTAAGTTTTTTTAATAAATAATACTCTCGTAAAACTAAATAACATTAGATTTACATGTGCATGACACGGGTTCTTACCTTGTAATTCTTCAAACAAAAGATAACAAATTATGTTCCTTTTATTTTCTTTTCTCGCTTTTCATGTTTTTGTGTTTTTTTTGCTTAGTTAATAACTTAATATCTTGATTTCTTTCTTCTTTGTGCTGTTTTCTTTTGTGAATTCTGTTTTCTTGATTGTCCTTCTGTTTCATCAAAAAACGAATATGTTCCAACAAAATGATCGATCTCCACAATCCAACCCTTATTATCTTTGACAACTCCCATTTGAATATTGGTTAATATCAAGTAAAGCTTCCTAGACAATGCTTCTTCTCATGTTCTATATTTTACCTTGTGTTCAAAGATAGATATGACCCAAAATCGACGTTAGGTAAACCGCGGAAAGACTAAAGATTTGTTGAAATTGTCTTTTAAGATTTTATGGACGTTGGATTTTAGCCTATGTTTTGGTATGGGATTCCTCTGATTAACAAAACAAAAAAAAACCATTGTTCACTTTCTTTCGTTTTATCAGTATTTTTTTCATGTATTTTGAAACAATTTTAAAGCTTTGAGTAGCCAATACTCATAAAAAAGGGTGAGTTTTGTCTACTTTCAATGTTTTTGTGCTAAATTAACAATTTTCTTCGTTTTTTGTTTTGTGTGCTAATTAAGGTTTTCTACAAAAACTGTTTCAGCTTTGATTGAGATCGATGAAGAAGAAGTTTTGGGCTTGTGGATGTCTAGCTTACACTTGTGGATGTAGCGCTACTATGCCGCCTCCTCCCATATATTTTGTTTAGAGAAAACAAAACTGGAATTGGTTTTTTTCGTTGTGCAAATCTTCGATCCTTCGGTATCTTCTTCTACTTAGGAGGGCCTTAACCGGATCAGAGTTGGGATTTTAAGATTTGGTTCTTTATGTAAATTTTCATTTTCTATTTTTAAAAGAATATTAATTATTTTTTTATTTTTATCTTAATAAGTAAAAGTAATCAAATTTGTTTCAATTTTAAATTTACTCTCATTACGATTTTAGTTTTATCTTTCCATTTGAAAAATTGAAGAAGAATATTTAACTCTATTTTCACTGGGCATATCGAAATAAGAAATTTATACAAATTAAACCATCCCAGATTCCTTCATTCAACATTTCAACTAATTAAAAGAAATCTACATTTTAATAATAACTAGGTAAGAGACCGTGCATAAAATTTATGCTATTTAATTTTGTAAATAGTTTATAAATCTTATGCTATTTAATTTAATTTTATTTTTATAACAATTTAATCTTATGCTATTTAATTTTAATATATATTGAAGATATATTTCCAAATATTTGCTATTTCCTTTTTTGTTTGGCTGAAAAATTAAATATCTTCCTTAAAATCTATAAATTACATAATTTTGATAGCACTAGAATTTTATGGATACATGAATTAATTCAAATTATGTGTGTACAAAAATGAAGAATGAAATCTCAGATGATAGACTAACTAATCTGTCTATTATTTTCATAGATATGTCTAAGATATACTTCCAAATCTGTTCAGTTTTTTTTTTGGTTGAATATAAAATAAAATATGTTTCATACAATAAAGTTACTGCAAAAAATAGATTATAAATACTATATGTTGAATTGTTTTAATCCCTAAAAATGAATCATTTCATAATTGTTTTGTTAGTTACTACTATGTATTTTGGGCTATATGAAGCTTGCAAAACAAATCATGTAGTAATTCATAACGAACTAGGTCTTGGTATTGTTCTCAACATTGCCTGTCGAAAAGATAGCATAGAGCGCCCACCTATATGGTTTCATAAGCTAAATTTTAAGGATCCTTTTCTTATCATTAAGTTCGTGGATAAGGTACCTCATCGTACAAAATTGTATTGTATGCTTAGTTACGGGACTAAACCAACGTATTGGTATGATATTGAAGTATATCATCAAGGCTCTTACCCTAGATGCGGTCAACTACGCTCATGGATTGCTAAAGAGGATGGAATTTGGTTTACAAGAAGATATCATAGCCCGCCAGGACATGTTCTCAATTGGAAAATCAAGTAACAATTATGTATGTGGTTTTTGTTTTTTGTTTTGTGTCATATGTATTATGCTGTCAAAGTGAATTAAGTCATCGATCTGATTTGCAAATGTTGAAATAAAATATGTGGTTCGATACACACATCCGCTTTTCTCCTTCTCAATTTTAATCTTTATCCGAAATATTCAAATTCTTTGGATTTTGTGATGCATTATTTGTAAAACAGTTTTTGGTGAATATAACTTTACATTTATACAAAAAGAAAAGAAATAAAATATGAGTTCATTTGATGTCTATGTATAAAAACTAATCTTTCCTTGGAAAACTCCTAGGGCGAGTGTTTTTTTTTTCATGGAATTAACACACAAGGCGACATTTAATACATCTAAACCAACTCAATACAAATAATAAAGGCCAGAATCTACTTATAAATCATTTTAGTTTAATATATTTTTCCTTGAAGGAATGGAACAGAAAAAAATCATCTAAATTTTATAGAAGCAATCAATATGATTTTGAGGTTTGTAAGAAAAAAGCTGATAGATTTTAGAGAAATACCCTAAATTAAAGATCATTAAACTAAGTTTTTGTCCCAGAAACACTATCACTAGTTTTTTTTCTTCCAAAACACTAATAAATGAGTTTTTTTTTTCCAAAACACTAATATATTTTATTGGTATTTTTGGAAAAAAAAATCTAGTATATAGTAATAGTTCTTTACACAAAAGATAACAAATTTTATTCCCTTTAATTTTTTTCTCGCTTTTCATTGTTCTTTGTGTGTGTGTGTGTGTGTTTTTTTTTTTTTTTTGCTTAGTTAATATCTTTTCTTGATTGATTTCTTTCTTCTTCGTGCTTCTTTCTTCTTTGAATTCCGTTTTCTTTATTTTCCTTCTATTTCATCAGGAAACGAATCTGTTACAGTAAAATGATCGATTTCCACAATCCAACCCTTCTTATCTTCGACAACTCCCATTTGAATATTGGTTAATATCAAGTGAAGCTTCGTAGACAATGCTTCTTCTCCTGTTCTATATTTTACCCTGTGGTCAAAAGATAGATATGACCCAAAATCAATGTTAAGTAACCCGCAGAAAGACTAAAGGTTTGAAGAAATGGTCTTTCAAGTTTGTATTTTTGTTAAATTCATCACCTTTTGTCATGGTAAGTCACGGTTTCAACAGCTTTAACGACCATTGCTGTCCCAGTGCAGAAAACTTCTTCTGCCTCTAATAGCTCATCCACAGAAACATCGCGTTCTTGAACCTGTGAAACATTGTGAATCACAATCTTCAAATCTTGCCAAGATTCATGAAATGTCTATACAAGAAAGAGTATTATTAGATAGAGCTGGAACCTGGTAGCCAATATCACGAGCTAGCTCACTTATGCTTTTCCTTGTGATTCCTGGTAAAATGGTTCCTGAAGTTGGTGGAGTGGATACAATGTTTCCCTATAAAATGAAGGATATACAATAAGAGTTCTTGCAAATGCAAACTTAAGGTTGAAACTTTATATTATATGTTATAAATTTTTCAATGATCTTTACCTTTAGAATGAAGATGTTACAAGTAGAAACCTCTTCGATGTTTTTACCAGTTGCCGCATCCAGGAACAAGACATCAGAGAAACCCGATGACTTTGCTTCGATCAACGATTTCACAACCTTCCAAATTTCATACAAGAAGAAACCATGATTTAGATATTCATTAACCTGGCCATCTATATATCTATGGTGTCTCTTTATTACTTACTGGAGAATAATTTGTGCAGCTCTTCACACCACCTGTTCCACCAAAGTGGGCTCGGCGATGGTTATGATCAACTTTGAGGTTCAAGCCTGAGCTTGCCTACAAGACAGACAAACCAGTTAAGAGTCTCAAATTAAGGAATCTTTAGGCAGCATATGGCCATATTTGAGCCTGTGTCAGAAGTGCTAGAGGACATGGTCCACAAAAAGGTAACATTTATTTAAAATATTTTAGAGCCCACATTTTTTTCCTTTCACATACAGATTTGATCACTATTTGAAATATTAGACCGAGTTTACTTGACCAAGTATTTGAATAACAAACAAACTCACCTTGTGATAATTTCCTACGGGAGATGTGTAAATGAGGAACGTATATTCAGGAGCTGAAGCTATTCCAAGGACAGCACCAGTACCTATGAGTAGAGGCCTAATATACAAAGCTCCTTTACCTGGAGGAGGTACCTAAAACCGAAAAAGGTAAAAATCTTTAGCTACTTATAATAAAGATTAACAAGTTTATTATAAGTAGCTAAAGATTTTTACCTTTTTCGGTTTTAGGTACCTCCTCCGGGTAAAGGAGCTTTGTATATTATAATAAAGATTAACAAGTAGAGTTTTTTGAAATAATATCGAGGCTGACGTGGCAGGGGCGACTCAGAAGGCGATTTAGGGTTTTACTACAGTGTGACTCAAAATGGAAGATCTGGCGGATCAGCCGCCGATTTCCCCCATCATGTCGCCGGCGACGGTGGTGGAAAACACACAGACAAGTTCAGAAGCCTCACCAGGGGTGCTTCAAAAGCCATCCTATTCATCAATCGTTCAGAACAGACCAACTCTTTCAAAACATGATTTCAGTGTAACTATGGTTAATGGAGATCCGATTGTTCAGGTTCCAAATGAAATCTTCGAAGATTCAATTCCGCTCTGGGAAGATCTGCTCATAGGTAGATTCCCACAAACTGCTCCGCACGTCGCAAAAGTTCATGTTATTGTGAACAAAATTAGGCCACTCGGTGATAAAACAGTGAAGATCGATGCTTTTGCGGCTGATGCAAAAACAATCAAATTTCGAATCAGAGACAGTTCAGTCAGAGCTAGGGTTCTTCGTCGTGGAATGTGGAACATAGCTGATATGCCAATGATCGTATCTAAATGGTCTCCGGTGATCGAAGACGCTCAGCCAGAGATCAAATCAATGCCCATGTGGATAACTATCAAAAATGTTCCACGCTCAATGTTCACCTGGAAGGGTTTAAGTTTTCTTGCAAGTCCAGTGGGGGAACCAAAGAAGCTTCACCCGGATACGGTGCTCTGTAACAGTTTTGAAGAGGCAAAAATCTTTGTGGAGGCAGATTTGTTAAAGAACTTGCCAAAACAATTTCGTTTCAAGTCTGAAACCGGAGTCGATGCAATGGTGGAATATAAGTATCCTTGGCTTCCACCAAGGTGTTCCTCATGTTCTAAATGGGGACATCTGCAAGATGTTTGTTTAACAAGAAACCCACCCAGCCAACATTCAACAGTAGTAGAGAAGGAAACAGGGGAAGAACCAGAGCCTATTGTTATTCCGCAGAAAGAATCACAGCAAACAACTCTTTTAGAGTCTTCTTCGACAAGCAATCAGATGGAAGGAAAAAAAGATGGTATTCAAAACCAGAATGTCTCAGATTTACAGACTAAAGGGAAAGATATTATCGATGGTACAGTGGAAAAAAAGAATGACGAAGACACATGGCACTCGGTCTCACCTGCAAAGGTTGGAAGACAGAGAGGTCCTAAGAATCATGAAGTACAGGATATACATGATCATGTCTCTCCATCTCGATTCACAGTTCTAGCCGTTGAAGATGACAAGGTTGAAACAGCGAGTAGGGAAGAAGGGGAGATTGTTACTACAACGCAATCACATGAGATTTCTGACACATTGGAGTTGGTTGGGACTCAGGGGACTCGTCCATCTATCCCGAGAACTTCCAAGTCTAAGCATAAGGTGATTAACGGCTCTGGTAAACAGAACACAAAGGGAAATCCTAGTGTTTCAGGTCACAGGGTCCCCAAAAAGAAGTAATTCTATGTCGGGTTTCTTCTGGAATGTCCGCGGTCTAAACAAATTTTCAAAACATTCCATTATTCGCAATTGGGTAAATCACAGTTCTATGCAGTTTGGTTGTCTTTTGGAGACAAGAGTCAAAGAGAGAAGATCACCTGATATAATCTCATCTATTTTTAACGGTTGGTCGTCATTAACTAATTATGAATCGCATCGGTTAGGTCGCATTTGGGTAGTGTGGAGTGCAAATGTTAGGCTTACCCCTGTATTCAAGAGTAGTCAAATGATAACCTGTTCAATTTTGCTAGAGGGTAAAGAGGAAGAATTCTTTTGCTCCTTTATCTATGCCTCAAATTTTGTGGAGGAGAGGAGACTTCTGTGGGAAGACATCCGATACCATCATGATTCACCATTGTTCCGCAACAAACCATGGATGATTTGTGGTGATTTCAATGAAATTCTTGAAGGCGGAGAACATTCAAATTATGATAACTCACCAGTCATTCCTCTCAGAATGAGAGATTTCCAGGAGGTTGTAAGATATTGCTCTTTCACTGATCTTGGATATCATGGCCCATGTTTCACATGGTGTAACAAACGAGAGGAAGGTCTGGTTTGCAAAAAATTGGATAGGTTCCTGGTTAATGATTCTTGGTGTACCATTTATCCCCATTCCTATAGCGTCTTTGAGTCCGGCGGTTGCTCTGATCACGCTAGGGGAAGGATAATGTTAGAGGCTGCAGCAGTGGGAGGCCGTAAGCCATTTAAATTTGTTAATGTGTTGACGAAGCTACCTCAGTTCTTGCCTACTGTCGAGAACCATTGGAATGATACAGCTCCCTTATTCGTCTCCACTTCAGCTCTGTATCGATTCTCCAAAAAGCTAAAGACATTAAAATCGCCTTTGAGAGCTCTGGGAAAAGAAAAACTAGGAGATCTTCCAAAGCGAACACTAGAGGCTCATGAGTTACTTTGTGAAAAACAAACTAACACACTAGTGAACCCGTCACAACAAGCGATTGTAGAGGAGCTGCGGGCATATACAGATTGGCAATATCTTGCAGGATTGGAAGAAGGATATATGAAGCAAAAATCTAAACTCCACTGGCTGAACGTTGGAGACAGAAATAACTCATACTTCCACAAGGCTGCGCAAGTGCGTAAAATGCAGAACTTGATAAGGGAGATAAAGGGGCCAAATGATGAAACACTACAGACAAGTGAGGAGATCAAAGGTGAGGCAGAGCGATTCTTCAGTGAATTTCTCAACCACAAGCCGGTTGATTTTCAGGGGATAGCGGTTGAAGAATTGAGAAAGCTGATGTCTTTTAGATGCTCTGAAGCTGATCAGGATATGCTCACAAAAGAGGTAACCGAAGAAGAAATAAAAAAGGTCTTGTTTGCGATGCCAAATAATAAATCTCCGGGTCCTGACGGATATACAAGTGAATTCTTCAAAGCAACCTGGTCAATAACTGGTAAAGATTTTGTAGCTGCAATCCAGTCATTCTTCATCAAAGGTTTTCTTCCTAAAGGGTTAAATGCAACAATTCTGGCACTCATACCGAAAAAAGAAGAAGCTATTGAGATGAAAGACTACCGGCCTATTTCATGCTGTAACGTGTTATATAAGGTAATCTCTAAGATTATTGCCAATCGACTTAAAGTTATGCTGCCAAGATTCATTCTACAAAATCAGTCTGCGTTTGTTAGAGAACGGCTCTTGATGGAAAATGTACTGTTGGCCACAGAAATAGTAAAAGACTATCACAAAGAATCAGTATCTCCTCGGTGTGCTATGAAAATTGACATATCAAAAGCTTTTGACTCGGTGCAATGGCAATTCCTACTAAACACGCTTGAAGCTCTGAATTTTCCGGACAAATTCCGACATTGGATAAAGCTTTGTATCACGACAGCCACTTTTTCAGTACAAGTCAATGGAGAATTGGCAGGTTTCTTTGGTAGTTCGAGAGGATTGAGACAAGGTTGCGCTCTCTCACCGTATCTATTTGTTATTTGCATGAACGTATTGTCTCACATGATTGATGAAGCTGCAGTTAGAAGAAACATTGGCTATCACCCGAAATGCAAAAACATCAGCTTAACTCACTTGTGCTTTGCTGATGATTTGATGGTGTTTGTAGATGGTCAGAAACGATCGATTGAAGGGATAATTAATATCTTTCATGAGTTTGCAGGTAAGTCGGGGCTGCAAATAAGCTTGGAGAAATCAACTCTTTATCTTGCTGGAGTTCCTGATCTTGATAAAGACCAAATTCTAGCTAGTTTTCCCTTTGCAAGCGGTCAACTACCTGTTCGTTACTTGGGACTTCCACTACTAACGAAACGGATGAACACTGCAGATTATACACCTCTCTTAGAAACAGTGAGATCAAAGATAAGCTCATGGACAGCTCGCTCTCTCTCTTATGCGGGACGTCTTGCACTTATCAATTCAGTGATAGTAAGCTTGTTGAATTTCTGGATGTCTGCTTACCGCCTACCAGCAGGTTGCCTAAAAGAGATTGAGAAACTTTGCTCTGCTTTCTTGTGGTCTGGACCTGATCTTAACTCCAAAAAGGAAAAGTTAGCATGGACATCGATCTGCAAACCGAAACAAGAGGGAGGTTTGGGTATTAAATCTCTTATCGAAGCAAATAAGGTTAGTTGTTTAAAATTGATATGGAGAATTGTCTCTCGGCAGTCTTCATTGTGGGTTGCTTGGATTTGGACATACCTAATACGGAAAGGGTCATTTTGGTCTGTCAATGAACACTCTAGCTTGGGATCTTGGATGTGGAAGAAGTTGCTCAAGTATAGAGAAGTGGCTAAAACTATGCATAAGGTAGAAGTTAAGAACGGAAGCTCAATATCGTTTTGGTATGATCATTGGTCACAACTTGGCAGGCTTATTGATACTACGAGTACTCGTAGAGCCATTGACATGGGGATTCCGCTAGAAGCAACCGTGGAAACTGTCTTCAAAACACACATGAGTCGCAGGCATCGAGCAGAAATTTACAACAAAATTGAAGAAGAGATTCAGCACTCACGTCAAAGAGAGAGAGGGGATGGTCATGATGTCTCACTTTGGCGAGCTTCAGGTGATAAATTCAGGCAACGATTCATAACAAAAGTAACATGGAACAATGTCCGAACTCATCACTCACGGATGAACTGGTATAAGGGTGTTTGGTTCTCCTACTCTACACCCAAATACTCTTTTCTATCGTGGCTAGCAATTCATAACAGATTATCCACTGGTGATCGCATTAAAAAATGGAACTCCGGGCATCAAGTCACTTGCATTCTCTGCGGTAACGTTGAAGAATCAAGAAATCACTTATTCTTCTCTTGCCAATACACATCTGAAATCTGGGAAAATCTTACCATGAGGCTTCTCTCCGGTGACTACTCAACAGAATG